TATCAAATGTCCCCTTCTCAGATTCTCTACTCTGACCAGATTTACTTACTACCTTCAGGTTCCAACAGAGTGAGAAATATAATATCAGTCACAGAGAAAACCTAGAAGGTATTATTACAGTCGTGGTTTTATTGGCAGAGAGGACAGGAAATGGTGTCAACAGATGGCAGCATGCTTACAATAACAGGAGGGCACGCCAAGTGGACCTTGTTTCCTTCCTTTTTTTTTTGATAGAATCACAACCTTAGATCAAGGGAAAGATTTTAGAATGAGTCCGACAAAGTGTCTCATAACATTCTTGTGGACAAGACTGAGAGAGGTGAGCTAGGATGATAACATAATTCAATGAATTAGCCAAAATTTGAATAACTGTACCTAAAGAGTCTTGGGTAAAATAGAGGTCAACCTGGAGAGAAAATTCTACAGACACAAGGTGGGCTTTCTACCTGCTACTGATCTAGGCAACATTGTGTTATTAAAAATGTAAATAAATGCCTAGAAGCTATTCTTACTCAATTTGCCAACTGAAATAGCTGGAAAAGGTAGTAAAATGAATGGCAGAAAAAGGACTAAAAAGTCTTAGAACACCAGAAATTTCAGGCTGATACAAAGAAATGGAGATTAAAGACAGATAAACATGAATTCGTTCATGCAGGTTACGAAAAGTTGCCTGCAAAATGAGTGAGACCTGGATTAACAAACCTTCACATTTTTAGGGATTTCAGTGGAATGAATCTCCAATCTGAGCCAGAGCATCATGTGGAAGCTAAACAACTAGCATTATTCATTTTAGGGTGTGATAAAATAGATACACGAGACCTCAAGACAGGAAAGTAAATATTTCTATTCCATTTGGGAGCCATATTGTCATGAAGAAAATAGATAATCCAGAGGCCAGACAAAGCAACATGACCAGAAGGAAAGCATTTAGAAACCAGGGTAAATGAGAAACAAGTTGAAAGAAGTGGGGTTGGCTTAGAAAAGAGATAATTAATCTGGCCGGTGTGTCTCAATGGCTGAGTGTCAGCTCACGAACCAGGAGGTCACAGTTTGATTCTCCGTTAGGGCATATGCCAGGGTTGTGGTCTCAATCCCCAGTGTGGGTGTGCAGGAGGCAGCCAATTGATATTTCTCTCTCTCATCGATGTTTCTACCTCTCTATTCCTCTCTCTTCCCCTCTCTAAAATCAATAAAAATACATTTAAAAAATTTAAATCATGGATAACCAAACTGAATATCTAAGGCCACTACAGGCTTCTGCCTGTTTGAAAAAAAAGAAAACAAAATAGATAATTAGAGAAGTGACAAAGTAATTGTGCTCATAAACTGTGGTCAAGAAGCTCTCTGTTGCCCTGGGACAATAAGAGCAAATTATAGGACTGGGGATTTTAGCTCAGTGTAGGAAAGAGTTTTCTAACATTAGCCTACCCCCGCCACACCCCAACCCCACAGTAAGCATGGCCATCCATGTGCACAGGTGGCCCGGAAGATAACCTGTGAGGGGAGAGTTTCACAAGTGTGTCTTAGATTGACGAAGGTTTGTGAACGTTGCTTTCGTATACCCTGGATGTTTGAAATTGTGGAATGCTGTTAAACAAGGTCGTGACACACAAAAATGAATTCATCTTGCTGCCGAAGAATGTGAAGCTAGGTGGATTTTCTTCTAATAGTTTCTCTGTGCCTTGCTTGTGTATCCGAAGCACCTTTTTATCACTAAAGAACTCAAAACATGAAGACAAGATGTTGAAAGAGAGGGAGGCAATCCTGAGTTATACTCATCGGCTGCTCTGTCTCTTTGATGTTAAAATCAACTGCCCAAAGGAGCAGAACAGAGAACCTTCCATTCTTTCAATTACATTCTTAGGTCTCACAGCATTTTTCATTTGAACCTAGAATAGGAAAGACCAGCAAAAGATGTGACCTTTGCATGTTAGAAAAGGTCATGGCCATAGTCACAATTTGGTTTTCGTAAAAATTCTTCATAACTTCAACTATGAGACATGCAATAACTTCACATCAACTTGCCATTGTGGCTCACAAAAATATATTTATCACATGATTGATTTTATTACTTTTATTTTTTTAAATATATTTTTATTGGTTTCAGAGAGGAAGGTAGAGAGAGAGAGAGAGAAACATCAATGATGAAAGAGAATCATTGATTGGCCACCTCCTGCACGTCCCCAGTAGGGGACTGAGCTCAAAACCTGGGCATGTGCCCTGACTGGGAATCAAACCGTGACCTCTTGGTTCCTAGGTTGATGCTCAACCACTGCGCACACCAGCCTGGCAATACTGCTTTTCTTAAAGAAACTTGCAGTTTTGCAAGGAAAATAAACCTCAAAAACTGTTTATAGTTCAAGGTATTAATTTAAGAAATAAAATATGAGTAATTGATATGTGTTTCCTAAAAAGTTATAAGAGCTCCAAAGAAATATAACTCAATATAACTCACCATGAGATGGGAAGGTGGAAGAATGTTGAGGGAGGAAGTGGAAGTTGACTTGGATCTTGAAAAAGGGAGAGTTGAGGGGGAGAGAAAGAAAAGATGCCATTACAGAAAGATGGAACTGTGTGAATATCTGTAAAGAGCTTCCCTCAAACAAAATACTGGGTTATTACTAGTATTATGTAAGTGATATTGTCGTTTATCTTAAGGACCATTTTCATCAAGAAGAGAAATTTAATGTTTATTAGCTGTCCTGGTGAGTTGTGGGAAAAAATATGAATGGGAAATATTAATGTAATGCCTTATTTACTTATTTACACCTTATTATTCCACAAAGAAACTGAAGCAGTTTTCAAAAATAGAGGACATACATTGGATAAAATAAATTATTAAGGAAAATGATAATAAAGCCAGGAGTAAAAGCAGCACACACAGAAAAGCAGATTGTAGAGTCCAGACTGGTTGTTAGTCAAAGTTTGGGGGCTAGGGATGGGAGAGATTTAACCTTTCTAGTATTTGCAAGATTTATCATGCATCAGATTAAAAAGAAAACAAAAATCTTGCAATTCAACAGCCTAGCCTTTCCTAATACTGAAACATGAGAGAAATTTCTCCCTCGAGATGTCATAAAGAAGCCACTGAATGCTTTAGGAGGTGCTGGCCTCAATTCCATCCCCGACCCGATGGTTATAATTGAGCAATTTCACATGCTCTTCCTCAGTGGAGGACAAGAGCATCACGCTGAGGCACAGTTCAGCTACAAAACAGTGTGGCCCACCTGCCCAGCCTCCCTTGTAATATAAGAGTAAATTTAGAATATGTGCTAGATTGGAGGGACTCCATGTTCTTCAGTTCATATTGACTCATTTATTTACTCAAAATGTATTGATTGCATGCAAGGTGACAGATGTGGGGAGATAGCCATGAATAAAACCCGACAGCCATTCTCATGGAGTTAAGTATTCTGGTGGTGGGAGAAGGATCACAGACAAATAAATACCTGTGAGGTGGTGATAAACACTATGGGGAAAAGTAAGGCAGGGTAAGGTGATAGAGAACAAGACAGGCAGTGTGAGGTTAATATTTAGAACCGTTAGTCACAGACAACCTCTCTGATATGGTAATGTCTGGGCTAAAACCAGGGTGACACAGGGAAGGAAACTAAGATATGAGAGAAAAGTGTTGCATGCAAAGGGAACAGTTAGTGCAAAGGTTCTGAGTGAGAAGCATGCTTGGCATGTCTGAGTAGCTGCAAGACCACCAGTCAGGCATAGGCAGAGTAAAGGTCTTCTTATCAAAATAAAGGACCCAGGATGAGGTGAGAAAAGGGAATAATGATGGAGCCAATGATTTCCTCAGAAAATCCCTGCTGTGTCTGTTTCAGCTTAAGCCAAAGGCAGCTGAGGTTGCCAGAGTATATCTTAGAATATCACCATCATCATTTTAGTTTAAATGTTGTGCTACAGCCTGCATTAAAATCACCCATTCTAGACATGGGCTTTTTGCTAAAGCCCGCCTACATTATATGTAGAGTATTAGAGCATGACAACTAGACTTATCATTTCTGATACTTAAATATTCACAGAATGTTTTAATTTTGTTTCCCAGTGAAACCTGCAAATTGCACCTCTATGAACCTGACATGTAGTACCAAGTCATTCATTACATTTAAGCCAACTGAGGGTACAGGGCATCTTTCAAAGATGCTGAGTTTGATTTTAAAGACAATCTGGTAATTGCACGAAAGCAGAACCTACTGTCTATCGAGGGCACTTAAGTGTGTCAACAAAACTTATCATCATTTTAGAGAAGACAACTTACATTTGTTTCCCCATAGCAGGGGGCAGGCATCCAGGACATGGAGAAGTGGTACCAAATCACTTAGACACAGGTGAAAAGAAGGAGCGGAATGAGATACCCCTCTTTGATGCCAAGAGAAATGTTGTTTCAGGAGCCTGTACTGTAAGCCTCTGTGACCTTCTAACCGATATTAAGACACTGGGTCTATAAAATGAGTGGTAATTGGCTCCATATTGACTTTAGAGATCTCAGTACATTAACAATTCCCCCAGAAAAAATGTGATAAGTAAATAGTAATAAAACCAGCAAATACTGTGCATTGTTTTTGATAGATTTTGTCCTGAAGTGATAGAGAATATGTCAAAAGGCCTATAATGAACTTTTTAAAAAAAACCCTCACCCGAGGATATGTTTTTGTTGATTGAGAGAGAGAGAGAGAGAGAGAGAGAGAGAAACATTGATTGGTCGCCCGCGTATATGCTCCTCCCAGGAATCAAACCCACAACCATCTGTTGTATGGAATGAAGTTCCAACCAACTGAACCACCAGGCCAGGGCACAACGGACCACTTTTGTCTAAGGACCACCTGCACCTCACAGAGAATACTGGAGTGAGAATACTACACTTGTGATTTTTGTCAAGAAGAAAACTGACATAGAGATTAATTGTCCAATATGAGCTTATAAACTCAACCATCAGTAGCAAAACTCTGTGAAAAAAAAATTAAGTGAAATGAAATGGAAACAATCACCTGCTCAGCCAGTAATGAAGCGAGGCTTGAATACGCATCTGCAAAGTCCGGGCCATATCGAATGGAATCTCTCAGTAAAGTGACAGCCTCTTCTTTTTTCTCCTGGGACCTGTAGATTACAAGAGGGAGAAGGGACATCTTTTAATAAAACTTTATTGAAACCTTCTGATTAGACTTTAAGATCTGTTTATGTTAGCAAAGATTAACTGATTCCCTCGGGGTGTTGTTGCAAATGAATTGAACTAACACTGTCTCGAGTCAACAGTTTCTGTCTCTGAATTCTCGGTGGAAAGAGATGTTAAGACATAAATGAAGCTGCAGGTTATTCAGTGATTTTTCTACCTTCTATTTCCTGCTGTGCACTTTTGGGGAGTTGTTATTTCATATTTTACAAGTGTGTTAGCCAGAAAGGTAAACCTTCAGAGGGAATGTGGGGACCTTCCCTGGGTGCACGGGAGCCGTAGCGAGGCTGTGGAAGATGACTTGCGGCCCTGTAGTACCAGCTGCATCACTGCGGACTAGGCGCCTTATGGGGGCCGAGCCACGCCACCCATCAGGGACAAGCCAGCCAAACTGCCCATGTCAGTCTTTGTTTTTCTAACTAAGAGAGATACATTTTTTACACATAGTTTATAAGATTAGGAATATTGTGACTATGGCTGGCTAAGAACAATCGGCTATTTTATCATCATATTTTAATGCAGAATTGAGGCTGAATCTTTGTTCTTCATTTTAATCTTCTCCCAGGGATTATGCTTCTGGTTCAAAAAGGACTCAAGGCCCCCACATTATTCCCATTATTTGGGGTGACAATTCTCTCTCCTCTTAGTGCCTTGGGGAAACACTTGGTCATTTCCCTAATATCAATATCTTTGAAGCAAAAAAAATGTACACTGGCAATGATCAACTTCGCTGCTAGTACAGTTCCACAAACACCGATCCCTTGCTAAGTGACAGATATTGTAACTGGCAAAAGAAGTGGAAGGAAGACTGGAACTCGTGGAACTACAGAGTGCAAAGCCAAAGGGTCCCCCCGTCTTTTCCCATTACCAATGCTGAATCATGTGCCTATGTTCTTTCTATTTAGAATCAACAATGGTTTTCATCAGCAATGAATATCTACCATATGCTCTGGTAAATTTTCACATAACATGATTAATTTTATTCTTACAACAATTCCATGCAGCAGGTATTAGTGTCTTATTATACTCATTTTTCTCTAATGAGAACATTTGGATTCAGAAGAGTCAGGTGACTCATCATATTCACATAATCCATCTTCTGAGTCAAGAGCCAGTGCTCGTCTATCACACCACTCCCGCTTATTCTCTCTACTCATAAATCTACCTCCGCGACCTTGCTGCTCAACATGTGATTCATGGACCAGTATCGTCAGCATCACTCAGGAGCTTGTTAACAATGCAGAGTCTCAGGCTCCAGCCAGACCCATTGAATCAGAGCCTGCACTGAAAACAGATTCCTGGGTAATCTGTACCCATGCCGAGATTTCAGTGAATTATCAAAGGCAGTTGAGAGTAGCTCCTGCGATGAAACCCCTACAGCTTCAGTCTCTGCAGGACAAAGCTCTACAGAGGGAAAACTAATATTGACTCCCCGTGTCCGAGTTCCACGTGTTAGAAGCAGCAAGCATATCACAAGGTGATTTTACCTGGGAGATAGTCTTTTATCACAGACCTCGAGGGAAAAAAAGTCATGTTTCCAGCATAGACCTTGCATTTAACTATTCAATTGAACCAACATTTATCACTGTCTATGATGTGCTGGCTATTCTCTGAGGGAGGTGGCTGTCCATGACATCCTCCCTTTATTGGGGTCTAGCTAACTCCTACTGGGCTCCTCTCGATGCAAAATATCAAAGCGTGACACCCATGTCCTTAAGTAGATCGTCCTTGGGATGTGGCTTGAAAGTTGCATGGTTATAAAAAAGTTGCTTTACAGCTCTCTTGGTGCTGCTTTCTTGTTGATTAATTCATTTAGTCAACAAACACTTAACGAGTGCCCATAACGCTCCATAGAAGTGCACACATGTACTTACTCCTGCATTTCTATTCTAAAACATTTCTTGAAGTATTCTTCCAGGGGCACAACTTAAATAAAAACTTATTTTTTAGCCCTGACTGGTTTGGCTCAGTGGATAGTGTTGACCTGTGGACTGAAAGGTCCCAGGTTCGATTCCAGTCAAGGGCATGTACCTTGGTTTCAGGCACATCCCCAATAGGGGGTGTGCAGGAGGCAGCTGATGGATGTTTCTCTCTTATCCATGTTTCTAACTCTCTATCCCTCTCCCGTTCTCTCTGTAAAAAGTTAATAAAATATATTTAAAAAAACTTATTTTTTAATCCTGGTAATTTTACTATTGATTTCATGGCTAGCAGAACTCTTCCTCCAAGGATTTTTTAAATCTTTATTAACATTCATTTGGAAATCCTCTCCAAATCCAAAGGGGGTTATGGACTTAGGAAATTAAGGCTGAAAATTAAGTCCCTCAGGACATAATTTAGCTTGGATATTCTTCAAGATCTGCAGGGGAAAAATGCACACACACAACGATTTGATAATAAAATTTAATGATTTTTCATTTGTCATGCCTCATATCAGTTAGAATGGCAATGTAAGTCTTTTATATAAGAACACAGTGCGATTAATTACGACTGAATATAGTCTACGAACCTGTATACTTCAGGTCGTCCATTAACATTCTTGTGACACAACAGAAAAGTTAGCATCAAGGTTACTTATAGGGAATGTGGATTCTTTATGAAAAACTGCATTTCTATGAATCTCTCAAGGGACTGACTGACACTTTCAGGAAACCTCTGTATTTCACAATTTCGTTAGTATATGAGCACTGCAAGGTGCAGCTGTGGGGGCAGACAGGACATTTTCTCTAGGCTCTGCACTCTTAGGTGATTCTGCTTTTCCATGGGAGCCTTTGAGAATCCGTCATTACCTACCAATAGAGCAGTGGTTCCCAAACTTATTTGGCCTACCACCCCCTTTCCAGAAAAAATATTACTCAGCACCCCCTGGAAATTAATTTTTTTTTAAATTTTAATAGCAATTAAACAGAAAGATATATGTATTAATGTTTCTACCTTTTTCGTAAAATATAGTAAAGAAAGGTGTAAATTAGAAACATTGAAGTTTGAAATTATGAAACTATTTATTGAACTCAGAATAGAAAGGTAATACAAAAAAAGTTAAAACAAATGCACCTGTGGCCATCACTGCCCCCCTGGATCGCTGCAGCGCCCACCAGGGGGCGGTAGCACCCACTTTGGGAATCACTGCAATAGAGTGAGGCACATACCACCTTAACTGATATTTTACAATGCTTTTTACAAAAGCCCAAGAAATTCACATGTGGTAATTTTATTGCTGTTTTGTTTCTGAAAGGGAGAAGAATAGTAGGCATATTTATATAGAAAGAAATAGAAGATATATTTCTTCTATAGTCTCTCCTTTGCTCACACTTTGGTGGGAATTTATGAAATAGGTGTGGCTTTGACACAGTAACTTACATGGCAGATAATTCATCCATATGGGACTCTCCTTGGTCATAAAGTTACCACATGAGAACTGAACTTCATTTCAACCTGTTTCTGAATAGCATCCCTTTTCATATTTACATTATGGCCCATGTTTCCCTGATACTTATCCCATATTAAAAAATAGGGGCAAGCCCAGATGGTGTGGCCCACTGGATGAGCTTTGACTTATGAACCAGGAGGTCATGGTTCGATTCTTGGCCAGGTCAGGGCACATTGCTGGCTCCATCTCCAGTAGGGGGAGTGCAGGAGGCAGCTGATGAATGATTCTCATCATTGATGTTTCTCGCTTTCCCTCTCCCTTCCTCTCTGAAAGCATTTCCCCCCAGAGCATGGCTTTCAACACATTTCCTTATATAAAAATATTCATTAATATCCTACTGCCTACCGGTAGACTTATAGTTTAAAACCCTCTATGATACAATTCTGACCAATGTTTAAACATACCCAGGTATCCACTAGTCAGCCCAGCTAGACTGGGTGGCCTTTGACATCTTTTCTATAGAACCTAAGAGAGCACCTACTCCTTCTCTAGCCTGACTGTACCTTAAAACTATGCAGGGTGCTTTTCAAAAGACCTTCCTGTTCTGAGGTTGGGCCTCTTAAGAGGAAGCTCTCCACAGGAAAGTGACGGCCATCCAGATCCAGCTCCCAGCAAGATGGCCTCATCAGAGCTCGAAACATGTAACAAAACCAGAAACCACACATATGCTACCTTTTTTATATTTTGCTTTTCTTTTTGTATCTCCATAACAAAACAGGTGTTAGGGAAATCACCGTTAGAAGCCCTATCCTGGCCTCCAAAGGAGCAGCTGCTCTTTGTTCTTCAGCTCAATCTAAGGAGTAACTGGGCCCCAAATTATTTTTCTCTTCCAAAGTCCTGGCAGGCACAGCATGTGAAGGGTTCCCAACACTGCCCCCCGGCGGGAGGGTATAAGCCTGTGTATCAGTGAACGTGCCAACCAGGCAAGTTTTTCAAGCTCCACGTTTTCCAACAGTTGTTTGCTGCAAATGTACTCTCTGCTAAGGACAGAGTGATTCCTTTGCATTATTTATTTTAATACTTTTTAAACGGTGCAAATTAGGCATAATTATCTTTATTGTAAATACTAGCAATCACCACCCCAACAATACAAAACTGAGATTTGGAGAGCTCAAGTGGTTTGCGCACAGCTCACAGCTACTTTAACACCAGGCCCATGGGCAGTCCACGCTCCACACTTTTGTGTCCACTCTCTCAAATGCTGTGCACTCTGTCTGTGACCAGTTTTAAATTCCTTCATAGACAGGACCCATGCCTTATTCATCTTACTTACTTCTATCCCAGTGATCTGCACATAGTAGAAATTCAATAATTGCTAAATTATTTTTTAAAAGCCATGGTTTTACTATTCTCTTTAGTCCTAGATTTTTTTTATAACTCTCCTGAAATAAACTTCCCACTATTCTAATAAAAATTTGACAGATGAGGATTATGTAATCCATTTTATAGCTCTCTTTCTACACCTCATTCAATATTATAGAAGTGATCCTAAGGAAG